ATACTGTTAGGCAGTCGTCAACATATCTTTTGAAGAAAGGAAGTTTGAACTTTAGATTTTGTATGACATTTTCTTCTAAGGTTTCTATGACAAGCTCTGCGACTGTGCTTGAGATGGGGGAGCCCATTGCACAACCATCTAACTATTCATAAAATTCGTCGTTATACTGAAAATAATTTGTGGATAAGGTAAGGTTTAATGCATTTATGAATTCGTCTTCAGGCAGGAGGGTGTGTTTTTTCAACGCTTGCCATTTTCTATTAATGATGTTTTCTACTAGTCCGTTTGGTATGTTATATACGAACATGTTATATACGAAATACACGAAACAAACATGGTCAGATAGATATCTTAATTATAATTTAAATCACCCCCTTAAACAAAAAAAAATGTAATAATAAGAATAGCTGATAGAGCAATATATCTTAGCAGCCCAACCCGAAGAGATGAATGTTTGAACGAAGTTAAAAATATCCTACAAAAAAACAACTACCCCCTCCAATTAATTAATGCCACAATTAAAAAAAGAGTTCACAAATTCTACAACGAAACACAACACAATACCCCAAACACAAACAAACAATACATCTCACTTCCTTACATTGAAGGATTATCCGACAACATAAAAAACATTGTTAACAAACACAATCTTGATGTCAGCTTCAAAGCATACAACACTCTAAAACAATATTACACCCCTCTCAAAAGTAGAGATCCGCCATTTAAAAAATCCAGGCTGATATATAGGATTACATGCAATGACTGCAACAAACAATATATAGGTATGACATCACAACTTCTGGGGAACAGAATAAATGGACACAAATATATGAAAAAATCAAGTACCGCGTTAAACAAACATATCATACAAGACAACCACAACCCCAATTTTGCAAAAACCAAAATTTTACCCTATGAACCAAACCTAAACAAAAGAATTGTAAAAGAAATGATATACATTCAAATAAACCAAAACACAATGAACGACAGACGGGACATAAACAACTTTAGTCAAATTTACCATACAATCTTATAACCACCCACATATACACAATAACACTCATCTCCCCTAAACAAAGCCCAATGCACAGTAGAAAGACAATTAAATACACATGCGCGCACAAACTAATGTTTGAACAAATCAAATCCCAACACATGAACACGTCATTTCAATTTCCACCATTGATATGGAAGTGTCCAATCTCCTTATAGTCTTTTTCAACTAAAATTACTTTTTTAATTCTTTTCTGCCAATCTTCTGCGATAATATTAGATACTTCTTCTTCAATTAGTTCTATTACCTTCTTATCAAATCTTGGAAAAGCGTTGTCAAGAACTATTACACTATTCGCATCCAAATTTGGGATCAATGTGCTTTCTAACCATTCCTTGATAATTTTAACTTCCATGTTCTTATGATAGTCAACATTGCAGTTATCAAGTTTTTTTCCACATAATTTCAAAGAATTCGGAACCCATCATTTACTTCCGCCGCATTGCACAATGATTAGTCGCGATCCTTCATTTGCAGGCATGTTAGGCGTACACATACTCGAACCAGCGGTCCACCCTTTCGTAACTGTGTCATGAGTGTCATACCAAGTTTCGTCCAAATAGAAAATTTGCCATTGTTCTTGTCTATATTTAGTTATTTGTTTTAAGTATTTGTTACGCGATTTCACTATTTATTTGCTTTCCATAAATGTTTATGTTTGTTTATTATTTTGAATCTAAATCCTAGTTTGTTTATCCAATTCTGAAGAGTTTTGTCACAGCAGGTCACGTTATGGCCGGAAGTTTTCAATTTCTTCCTTATGATTTCAGTTGTAGGAATTTTATTGCTTTTGTAACAGTCGTATATTGTATTTTCAATGATTTTATCATATGAACATTTAAAGGTTTTGGTAGACCTGTATCACATAGCGTCTTGCGTTCATAAGGTTTGTTTTTGACTATTTTACGTACTGTTGAGAAAAGAATTTCGGTCAAATCTGATGTTTCTTATAATAGTTTTTTTTCCGCGAAACCAACCTTGAGATGTAGATTCTTATATACACTGAAATATACTCTCTGTGTTTCAATATTCAAATGCATCCGAATCTCATTCACTGGTATATCTTTTTTGCATTGTTCACCATTGCTATTGGAATCACTACACTGGAAAAAGTTGTCACACTCGTTATTACTATTAGTACTTGTCCAAGGACGCCACGTTTTAAACAGAAAACAAAAATTTCAAGTAATTATAACCGCACCAATATCGAACTTCAACACTAAAATCGCGATCATTTCCTGAACTGAACACGACAGCGACAACCATCCCAGCATTCCCCGATTTCAATTCGTCACCCTAAGATAATTTCAAATTTGATTTTATCATGAAATCAATCATGAAACTCGGTTGATAAAAATTTTCCAATACGAACTGCCAGGTCTACAGTCCACGTGGACTAGTTCGCTGCCGGTTCATTTCTATGTATTGATTTTTTTGGCCTTTGAGGGTGCCGCCACCTTTGAATGTGCACAATACCGTTTACTTCGACTATACCAATATAAATATATGAAAAATTGCTAATTGAATGTAATTAGCTTGCGAAATTTGAACATTCACCTTTTTGAATAGTCCACGTAGGTATTGGAAATTGAAATTTCAAATAATGATCTTTTAAAATTTTTAGAGTTAATATTTTGTACAAAATTTTGCCGGATACCAATTTCAACTGGTCAATTTCACAAAAATTCCTGAAAAATGTCTTTATTTTTTGTTTATGGAGACTTTGTTATTTGAAATCTATATTTATAGATGCGAAAGTCACTCACTTAACACTCACTCATTCATCTCTGTTTATCCGTACTGGTAAATCATAAAAGCCTAAAATTAGGTGTTTCTTAGGTCTTAGATGCGAACTAAGGAAGGATTTGTTTTGTCGCAATTGACGAAAATATCAAAAATAATCTAAATTCTAACGAGGAGAAGGACATAAACTTAGTCTTTGTGTACATCAAGCTGGAGTTTTTTCCCAACACCAAACCGTTGTTTTAACACCTCGACACTTGTTTCGATCACCATTTTTAAGAGAAAGATCAGTTTGACCTTCTTCTTGAAGATGATCACTTGGTGATCGAAACACGTGTCGGTTGGGAAAAAAACTCCAGTAATATTCATTACTACACCAAAGGTTCCAAACAGTGCATCACAAGTACTCAAACTAGAAAATAAAACTCCACTAGAATTATCATTTAAATAAAGCAACGGTTTTTAAACCACACCTTAATGAATCTCTTGCATTCGAATCGTCACTTGGAAAAACTTTAATGACGTTATTATAAGTATTTAAGATCCATCTCAAAAATATAGGTGCGTTTGAAAAGCATTTCGAAGAGGGGTATCATGAAGAAAACATATTTGGTATATGAAAACATGTTACAAATACATTTAAAATCACATAACCATAATTTTGTCTTATACTCATCAAATGAAAAGCATTTTCATTTTATAGAAAATCGAGTTCACCATAATATGTCTTCTGAAAGAGTTTCAAAAACATTTCATTTGGGGAATTTTGATATAATAACTAACGAATGCTAACGAACCAACCGACATTGCACGGTAGATGAAAATACATGGCTGTATATTTTTCCTGTCATAGTCACATCAACTTGTAGCTGACTTAAGATAACTTTCACTCGAAAAGAGGGATGTTCACAACTAATTTTGAAACGAGTCTATCTGAAAACAACCCAAAGCAAAAATCAGTTCGATAGTTTATGGGTTTATCGCATTCATGCAGAGACGCAACAGGGGGTACTTTGTTTTATAATATGTAGTGATTTAAAAACCCACAATATTTGTCATTGTGGAATAGCTTCTTCAGGCGTGTCTAATGCTATAAAATGTGTCAGTGACAAAACCATCAAAAACATGAAAGAATTGTTTTATTGTGAATACTAATGTTCAAAAAAAATTCAATATTAGTTTGTTTTACGGCAGGTATTTGCAGGTCCTGTCATGCAGGGGCGTTGGGAGATCTGAAAATTTCAAATTTTTGTTCGAAATATTTATTTTTTCAACCAATAAAATCAGTTTCTGATTGCATTTTCATTGACCTTATAAATATTTTAGTTCCATTCCACGACTTGACAACAAAGTGTAATTTTTCAAATTGAAAGAGGTGTAGTTTTGGGAATGGGAGATTTTGGATAAAAGAGACTATGCAGTAACTATTGTTACTGCAGTTTCGTCCAATGACATTTTCAAACTTATACATTACTGTATACAATAATGTATAAAAGTTATAAATGAAAGTATTAATTTATAAGTTTGAAAATGTCCTTATAAGACGAAACTACAGTAACGTTAGTTACAAATAAAAGTGGTAAAAAACATAGAAATTTTCAATTCTCTTTTCTTCATTATGATTTCCTACCACGTAGTAACGGCTACAACAATCAATTCATTGAAAGGTTTTGGTTCTCTACTTTTCCATACAAAAAAATGTGGAAATATTCCCAAGAAACACAGAAAGCTATCAATTTCAGAATAAACTCTCCTAACAAATATGTGTAGATCATGCAAAGGAGTAACTTTCTGACACAAACTGAAAGAAAAAGCCCTCTTGAAATAACTACTTTCGTATAAATATCGAATTAAACGAAAGAAAAAAATACTTCCGAAACAACTACCTACTTTTATATGAATATTGAGTTATACAAAAAAAAAATTTTGGATGTTTCCCACATTTTTGTATGAAGATGGAGATGTGGAAATATAATTCTTAATCATCACTCTACCAGAAGCAAACTATTAGTGCATTATGCTACTTAGAAATTGTCTTTCAGGAGTGGCAATTCTAGATCAAAGATTTTTGTTACGTGAATCTATGTATTAGCAAAAATTACCGTGATGCTATTACGTAGCTGGGACTGATGGAAAAATTTAAGAATGGTAAGGAAATGTTCATCTTAGAAACAACACAAAAAATGGTGAATGAAACACAGTAATGAATTAATGACGTATATTTACAAAAAAACTGTTTTTCTATAAACAAGAATCCAAATAAAACTGTCTTACAAATGAGTGCACAACAATTAAATAACACAAGTGCATGTATTCATGTAATATAGAGAAATGACCAAAATTATAAATAACGGGATGATTCAGTTTCTAATTTACAAATACAATAAGGTTAGATACACATAGGCGGATTATATTTTCTTCTTCATGTGATTTGCAGATGATACACATTTTTGGTAGGTAATACAAGAACATAAACCCTTATGAAGTTGACAATTATGAAATATAATGCACATACAATTTATATTTCTTAATGTAATAATTGAGTTCAGTGGGACATATTATGAAAAAAATTCAGATATTTTGGTTCAAGATTACATTTTTTCATTTCAACAGAACTGAACTGAAAAAATGAATAACAACCAATGAAAGGGTTTGACAACAATTATGGAACAACAATGAGAGAAAGGCCAGCTAGATAAATATATAAATATATATTGCGACATGAAAATTATAATTAGCAATAAGAGACTGAACCACGCCAACATTTTTGAGTGTGTAACTCAGTTATTCATTTATCAATATGGTTATTGATTTTCACTGAGTTCCTTCTGATGTTTCTAAAATATGATGATCATAACATAAAATGAATTAATTGAAAGAGTTTTCAGTGATGGGAAATAATATTTTCTTCATTTTGCTATATGCTGGTCTCAGTGTGCTGAGTATCTAAATTTTACATTTCCTTCAAACAATCCAGTCTGAGAAAACAATAATTTTAGAATTTCTCAAAGAAATAACAAACAACAACCAGAATCATTAAGGCATCACTTGAGTTTGTTACAATATGATTAGAGAATAAAGACGTGTAACTTGTATGAATGTAGATCCGAATCAAATCTTTTCAGAGTTTGGATATAATATATCGTGATTTCATCAACTGCAGATATTGTTACAGATGCGATAACTTTTGTCAGCAAGGTGTAACCAAGCATAAAGTTCGAACAACACATGGTTACAACAATCGCAAATACGCGGAAGTCATCAACAGGATATAAACTTGTCTGCGGTTATTGATATCCCAACCATGTACTTCCAATGAGGTTTTCCCAAGTCTTATTATTTCCATAAGTTTGGGAAAAAATCGAAATTTCACCTCCATTTCCACTCTCGTGGTGTTTAATGCCCAATAGAGACCATGACTAATTAAACATATAAATTGGGGTTTAAAAAACACGTTTGTGTTTGTGTGTGATATGGAGTTTTTGAGAAAGAAGTTATAAAGATGTTAATATCAAAGTAATATTTAATTTCGATATAAGATATATTAAAGAAATAAAAGTAGGTATCCACTTTCATTCTTTTATGAATACACAAGTGATGGATGAGTCATTTGTATTTTCATGAATAAGATTTAATTTAATTTAATTTTTTCTGTGTGTCTTTCTTCTTACATTTTTCCTAACTGGGTGTAATGAAGTACTTTTTATATTGATCTCTTTCCAAGAACTTCGTAAAAACTTTATACTGGAAAAGATGAATCAATCTACATCTCATCTACAGCTCATTTTCTCCAACACCGATTTTCATTTTTTATATTTTTCGATAGTCTTAGGATGTATTTTTTCTTGATTCAATAATGCGAAAGTTCATAATTTAAGCTCAAATTTTTCTTGACATTGTACCACATCGGCAAACCTCACCGCAAATACAGAACTGGGATATCAATACATTTACTCTTTATTAAAATAATGAAGTGCCAAATAATGTTTTGACAATCATCCGTGGCGTATTAAGATATTGTTGTAGTGCTACCATTCATGTGATTACCAGGAACAAAAACAATAATTTTTTTTTAGATCGAGCAATGTCTCGATGAGAAGTGAAGAAATTATTATCGATATGGATTTACTTCGGATAAAATTAATTTCTTGGAGAAATTGTAAAACAAGTTAAAAGAACTGAACAAGTATCTATTACATCTACCCCGCGATAAAATGTGATTAGTTATATGTAACACTTAATAATAATTAAAATACGATCAACAACATATATTTATCTATTTCCTTATTTTCTTTGTATTTTTAGGTCCCGCTTTGCAGTATCATTAGTAAATTACTGTTATTTACCCGCTTCATACGTTGTGATGCGCGAGAAAATATTGGAAAATGCAAACCTATAATGGAAACGGACCTAATTTATGTTTCATTCATTCAATTTTTATCCATTATAACCGCAAACAATGCCATCGATATTGCTTATATCATATCTAGGGTTATTGGCCGAGTAATCGATATGATTAATAATAAAATATTTTATCATGTTTGATAATACATTACATGAAAATCTATTATAATTTATGCCTATCTTTTTCAAATAAGGATTGTCTTCTTTGAGGGATTTGTAATCGAAACTTCCCGTGTATCCCGTATAGGTGTTGTCAAAATTAATTATTTGAAGATTTGGTTTAAGACCCCATGTGTTTACAAAAGTCTCCCTTTGAAACAATCGAGTATTATCTGAAAAGTCGAGCACGTGCAAACTCTTCAAACCTCCGAACACATCGACATTCAAATTGTACAAATTATTTCCATTCAACCGTAGTTCTCGAAGATTACTCAAATTTCTGAACGATCCGTATCCAATTATTTCAATTATATTATTCTGCAAATGCAATGTTTCCAAACCTTCAAGTCCTTGAAAAGTCAAGTTACTTAGACTTCCTATTCTGTTATTATTCAAAAACAATGCCTTCAATTCGGGGTACCGGCCATTGATACTCAAAGAATCGAGACGATTATTACTCAGACGTAAAGTTTTCAAACTTTCTGTTTGATTCAAAATATAAGACACGTTAATGTAACTGATTGAGTTGTTGGACAAATCCAGAAGAGTCAACGATTTCAACTGATCAAATATGTTACCATTCACTGAGCTCAAACTGATGTTGGTGAGGTATAATTCGTTTAACTTTTTGAGTCCAGTGAAAGCTCCTTCCTGGATTTCAGATAGATTTGTGTTCGATATCCGCAGGCTTTTCAACCTAGACATTTCACTGAACAATCCTGCCTCTAAAACTGTAGTACTACTAAGTAGATTTGAAGCGTCGAATTGCTTCACATGGAACAACCCATTTAGAGCGCCTAATTCAAAGGAACTTATCAAAGAATTATTGAGATATAATTCTTCTAGCTCGAACAGACCCATGAAGCAATTATTCATTAGTTCTATTGATGAATTGACAATAAAGAGTCTCTGAAGATTGATGTAAGAAATAGCTCGTGGACTGAGAATTCCGTTGAGAGTCAAATGCAATTCTTTGACTTCTGAATTATCATTCATAGCTGAAATATTCGATATATTATTCCTATCCAGAAAAATTGTAGTGGCAGTTGTATTGGAAAACACATCTTCTCGTATCTCAGATATATTATTGTTCCTCAAATCTATCGTTCTAACCGATACTCCAGAAAATGAAAATGGTTCAAGCAAATTTATGTGAAGACTAGAGAGATTCAGTACTGAGTAATGAAAACTTAAGTTCTCAAATGCTCGTGTTTTTATGATTTTTATTTTATTGCCGTCTAAGTACAATTTGGATAACGATAAACCATAAAATGTGTTACTTTCGATAGTTGTTAGGTCATTATACCTCAAGTCGATCGTCTCTAATCTCGGTAAATTAAAAAAGGAATTGGGTTCCACGAATGCAAGGCCGGTATTTGAGAAATTTAAAGTTACCAGGTTATGTAAATTATTGAATGCCTTATTTTGTATATACTTTATGGTGGTGTTTGTAAAAATTAGATCAGTCACACTCAGATTGTGGAAGACGTTAGTCTCCAAGACACCCAAAGTATTACTGGCCAAATCAATTGTTTGAATTTCATATAGATTTATAAACGCGTCCTCTTTGATATTCATGATATTATTATTGCTCAAATCAAGGTAATATAATGAATTCAAATCAGCAAATGAACCTGGGTGAATATAAGTGATTCCAGAATGGGAAATATTCAGAAACCGAAGTCTACTGCAATTCACAAAAGATTCTCCTCCAATTCTATCAATTTTGTTGTACGAAAGATCGATCGTGACAAATTGTACATGGTTGCAAATATTTTCCACCGTTTTCAAAAAGTTTCCTGTTAAATTGACAGTTTCGCAGTATTCCAAACCTTGGAATGTATTATTAGGGAGATTCGATAGCTTTGAAAATGACAGGTCCAAGTAACTAATACGAGAATCTTCAAATATAGTTTCGTTGAATTTGTTCAAGTTATTATGACTCAAATTCAACGCAGTAAAATTAACACCTTCTAGATAAAAAGCAGAAATATTTGAGATCTCAGCATTAGATAAATCGATGATGGGCCTTCTAAAACCTTGCAGCAGACTCATATTGAAAACATAACTATTCAGTGACCCTATGCTCGTGTTGGCTAAACTGAACACTTTGGTAACGAAAAATTTTTCAGGAAGATCGGTGGGTATATATGTTAAATACAGTTCATCACAGGTGAATGACTGATTAGCGTAAGGACCTAATGAAGTTATGTTATTCCCTTTTAAATTGACAAGTTTTTTAGTAAAGGTCTGATACTCAACGTATTCATCCAGAATGGTTATAACTTCTAATTCATTATGGCTAAGGTCTATAGACGAAAAGAAGCAATTCAGATATGACTCATTGAAAACGTTGATGCGGTTGAAGCTCAGATCAATGGTAGTGAAAGTGGCGAATTCTTTGAGAGGCAGGATTTCTCTTATTTGATTGCCTTTCAGAATTATCTTATTTGCGTTCTTTATAGGTACTAGGATATTCAAGTCCAAAATCTCAATTTTGTTGTTTTCTAAATTCAAACCAGTTAAATTCAAATTTTCGATGAATGAAATATTTTTAATGAAGTTTCCTGTGAAGTCCAATTCTAATCCACGTAATCCTTGAAAAGCACCTTTGTCAATTTCGTGAATGGAACAGTTTCTGAATGTTAATTTACGTAAATCGTAACTGAATGCTTGAGGCACAGAAAACGATTTGATATAGGAAAAATTTGAATTCACAAATTCAATGTTGGACACGTGACCAAAGTCATCTTCGTTTTTATAAAGCTGGTAAAGAAAATCTTCCTGTTGAATCCCTTCACAAATCATCGTATCTCTTGAAAATCGGCAATAGTTTTCTTGATATGTGCTAAGTGGCCATATTATCATTAATATGGGGTGCAACAGATTCATTTTTCTAAAACGGAAATAAAAGGTTGTTTTAGATAATACTTTATGAAATGAAATGATGGAAAATTATTTGTCTAAACTAAATTCAACCTCGACATTGCAAGGCATTTCGAATATTTTGAAATTTGCATTTATTACTTGACCATTCAAACGAGTTTGTGATCATTCTTTCCTAATAGTTGAATTTGAAATTAGTTTATACCTAAACTCAGTAAAATCATCAATCATTAGCTAAGTAGAACCGTCATAAAATTCAAATTGGTAATTTATATAAAGCACTAACTAGATAGGACTTAGTAAATATGAACACGCCTGAGAAAGAAGCTATTGTGTGTGAACTGTTCAATAAAAATTTCACAATAAAAGTGTTACTTGAATACGAATAATATTTTCAGCTGATGTAGACACTAAAATGAAGAATCTCCAATGCATCCATAGATGGCAGTCGGTAATAATGAAGATGAAAGTTATCTAAAATGATGTCAAAATTTATTGAATTCAAAAATTGATTTATTCATGAAATAATTAATGTATTGAATATTCATTGTCAAAAAATAGGGTGAATTTACATTTTTCTCAAAAAATATTTATTTATTCATCAATTTTTATTTTATCCCCTTCAAAGTATTCCAGCTCAAAAAAAACACTTGAGATTGCGTTTTTTCCAATCCAAGCAGTTCTGGTAAGCACTTTTTATTGTGTTCTTAAGTCCTCTCAACGATTTGTTATTCATCTCCTGAATCGTCGCAAAACGCCGTCCTTTCATGGGTCTCTTCAATCTTGGGAACAGAAAAAGTGTTGGTTTTGACCAAAAATTACGAAGAAGCATAGACGAGTGAGCAGGTGCATGAATTGTTATATCATTATACCGGACGTTATCTTCGTATTGATTTTCGCAGGTGGCGCAAAACTTCAACATAATACTCCTTATTGTGGCAAGAACTCCTGATGCACTACTCTATGGTAATCGAAGAAAACAGTGAGCAAAAACTTGACCTTGGATCGAATTTGGCGTGTTTTTTTGGTATTGGCTCTCCTGGGCTCTTTCATTGGCAAGATTGGACTTTGGTTCCGATGTTACAACCATTATGCAACAATTCAGCAATTTTGGAACGAACTTCTCTGTCGAGTACTCCATGCCCAAAATTATCAAAAAATTGCAAGGCATGAGTCAACCGATATGCCAACATCCTCAGCAACTTATCTAATATTGACTCGACAATTCTCCCTGGGCATCCAGAGCGAGCGTCGTCATTTATATCTTCTCGACCTCCTGTGAAAACTTGTACCTCTTGTAAACATTTTTCGGAATCAGAGTACAATCACCGTATGCCTAAAGAAAAATGGCCCAATTATTTGGACGTTAAGTATCCCACACCATACATTAGTTT